CACAGGCCGGGACTTATTTTGTTCAGTTTTATCTGCTTCAAAAACCATTCATAGTGATGTGATGTTACATAATTTATCTTCTTCTAGCCCACTGTAAAAATTAAAATTCTGGAATATTTTTAGTGTCTTCCTGTGTAAAAACTGAGAGAAAATAATTATTTAAAATCAAGCAATTTCATTCTCTTTGTCAGTAAGGTGCCCATAGTTGTTTTTAAGGGACCTATCTTATCTCTAACTTTTGTTTATAGACCTGGAAAAACTTTTTGGGTTAGTTTTTAGAATCCCTAGAAAACTTTAATTTCATAGTCCCTTTTAGCTTTTTTTATCCCCTTTTTAATATCCCTTTAATGTCAATATACTGATTCATAAGATGACCCTCCCCTCTTTTGATACGCCTATAAATTCCTTTCTTATGCCCTAGTAGATATTTGAGCCTATTATTCATCCATTTTGGGTCATTTCTATTTGATCTATTTCTTTTTATGGAATAAAACGCTCTTTGAGCAGCATGTATAGTGTTTCAGAAAACTGTCATATTGATAGCTCTCTTCCGTTACCCAGTAAACAGATGATAAGTGTTCTCTAAGCCCATCGTAATCTGCTAAGCGAAAATCTGGGACTGTTACTGAGTTATCGCTACTATCGTACTTCCATTCAATGCTAAATGTAATTGATTTGTAGTCGCTAGCACCCAGTTCCTCTGAAATTTCTAAATTATTAACAAGGGATTCATTGTTTGCCATAACTAAGTCAAGCAGGTTATTTCCCCTTGTAGGTTCTGTCACAAACTGCTTCAAAAAACAATCCTGAAATACTTCTAAGAAGTCGTATGATTCTAAATTCCCAGTCAAGAAATTGTACTGTACTGGTCTTGTGTGTTATTGTACTGTACTGGTCTTGTGTGTTATTGTACTGTACTGGTCTTCTGTGTTATTGTACTCTACTGGTCTTCTCTGTTATTGTACTGTACTGGTCTTCTGTGTTATTGTACTGTACTGGTCTTGTGTGTTATTGTACTGTACTGGTCTTCTGTGTTATTGTACTCTACTGGTCTTCTCTGTTATTGTACTGTACTGGTCTTCTCTGTTATTGTACTGTACTGGTCTTGTGTGTTATTGTACTGTACTGGTCTTCTGTGTTATTGTACTCTACTGGTCTTCTCTGTTATTGTACTGTACTGGTCTTCTCTGTTATTGTACTGTACTGGTCTTGTGTGTTATTGTACTGTACTGGTCTTCTGTGTTATTTGTACTCTACTGGTTTCTCTGTTATTGTACTGAAACTGGTCTTCGGGTTGTTATTTTAAATCTACTGGTCTTCTGTGTTATTGTACTCTACTGGTCTTCTGTGTTATTGTACTGTACTGGTCTTCTGTGTTATTTTACTCTACTGGTCTTCTGTGTTATTGTACGGTACTGGTCTTCTGTGTCATTGTACTGTACTGGTCTTCTGTGTTATTGTACTGTACTGGTCTTCTGTGTTATTGTACTGTACTGGTCTTGTGAGTTATTGTACTGTACTGGTCTTTTGTGTTATTGTACTGTACTGGTCTTCTGTGTTATTGTACTGTACTGGTCTTCTGTGTTATTGTACTGTACTGGTTTTTAAATGTTTCTTATACTTTTCTATGGTCTTCTGTGTTATTTTTCTGTACTGGTCTTCTGTGTTATTGTATTTTGTATCTGGTCTTGTGGTTATTGTACTGTACTGGTCTTTTGGTTATTGACTGTACTGGTTTGTGTGTTATTGTACGTACTGTCTTTTGTTTATTGAACTGTACTGGCTTCTGTGTTATTGTACGTACGGTCTTTTGTGTTATTGTACGTACGGTCTTTTGTGTTATTGTCTGTACGGTTTCTGTGTTATTTACTCTATGGTCTTGTGTTATGTCTGTACGTCTCGTGTTATGAACTGTACTGTCTTCCTGTGTTTTGTACTCTACTGGTCTCTGTGTTATTGTACCTACTGGTCTTCCTGTGTTATTGTACTCTACTGGTCTTCTGTGTTATTGTACTGTACTGGTCTTCTGTGTTATTTTACTCTACTGGTCTTCTGTGTTATTGTACTTTACTGGTCTTCTGTGTTATTGTACTGTACTGGTCTTCTGTGTTATTGTACTGTACTGGTCTTCTGTGTTATTGTACTGTACTGGTCTTGTGAGTTATTGTACTGTACTGGTCTTTTGTGTTATTGTACTGTACTGGTCTTTTGTG